GGTTGTGTATCAGAAAGCTTTGACCGCCTCATGCACTGTCATACTGATCATATATTGTCATACTGATCGTGCACTGTCATACTGATTGTCCAATTTGAACGAATCAATAATAAAATAATTATTTTCTTCTAAGGTTTAACGGACTCTCCTCAGCAGGCATACAGGCGTTAGAGGACATCCACTCTCGAGCCAGTCAAGAACTTTATTTTGATGTTTTATTGGTAAGATAATAATTGGTTGATCAGAGTTTAGAATGGATTTCTTATCCAGCCATGCCTTTTTGATTTCAACTGCTTGAAGTACATAACAGATTTGGTATTTTTACTGAAGTGGGACGTGTCAAAAATGAGGTACAATTATTAAGGTGACCGGTAGACTTCTAATATATAAGTTTTAAGGGACAAAAGGGGGGCCTGTCCCATCCTCGTAAAGCAAAATACAGTCCTGATCATTTAAATATTTATTGAACCTATCATTTACACCATTAAGTACAAAAAAAATTATAGTATCAGTTCCCTTAATAACCTAAACACCTCAGTCAAATCCCCTCTAATTATTCTTTTTTTGCAAGAAAATACTATTATATAACAACCTTTTCATCCAGGTAGGCCTCCTCTGAACACTTTCCAACAATGAAATGTCCTTTTTAAGTTAACCTTACTACCCCCAGCACCATTTTTAAATTCCTTTCTGCATATGGCACTGTGTTATATTCCAAATTTAACTAAATCACCTTAATATCAATATATGTCAATGAAATTAACATTATAATGTGCGTTATCATTTGAATTTTATAGTGCTCTGAAGTCTTCTGTTTTATTTCTTATATTCCTGGCATTACAATAATAATAATTTAGCCTTATCTTAGAACTACTTCTATACTTTGTATCTATATTAACTCCCCCCTTTACATCTTAGTTTTTCATTATTTAGTTTATTCTGGCCCTCACCTCAGTCTAGTTTTAGTTTAAAACCACCCTTTCAGTTGTGTTAATAGTCACTGCAAACAAGTTAACACCTACCTTATTTAACTGTAAACCACCCATTAGGAGAAGCTTTCTTTTCTCCTCAACCTCTTCCCACCAGTCCATCAAGCCAGTCTAGTTCTCCTTACATACTAAGCCTACTAATGGGCCCTAGTGACCTACTTAGTTGAGTCGTGTCCTAGCTGGTAACCATGTTTTGACAGTAGCTAAAAACTCACAGCAAAAAACAAAGTACGTGTTGTAGCACACAAGGATGGACTTTAAGATCTAAATTCATATATATTTTTTAATTATAAACAACATCACCATTTAAAATGCACAACAAAATTTTGTTTGGCTGACGACCAAAATTAAAAAATTAAATTATATGCTACTGTCATCAGAAGTAAAAAACCTACATGACAAGCGAGTAGTTTTATAAAGAAAAGGTTTGACTCGTTGTAATCTATGAAGGTGGAATGAATATTGTACATAAGAAGTTAATATTTCTTTCCAAAACTGTGCGTTATCACCAGCTAATCCTTCGTCTCCGTTTAACAAACAATTATTTATTTTACAGTACAAAATGTCTGTTGATTCTCTAATATGCAACTCACTTTGAGTATTAGGTTCATACTGTTGAATGACCAGTTTCAACAATGTGTTCGGCAAGAGAAAAAATTATTAGTTTTTGTTATGTAAATTATATTTGGTTTGTCCAATATATATTTTTTGTTGCATTCACACTTAATTTGATATATATATATATATATACTTTTAGTGCTTCGAAGTATTATTTTAATTTTGTTTAATGGTACAAAAATAGGAATAAAATTATTTTTTCTGAAAACATTGGCAATTTGGCTAGTTACACCTTGTATATATGGTAATATTACTGTACTGTTAATTTTATTATCATGGACACTGTTTAAGCTAGTACATTGTTTGTTAAATATTGAATTGTATTTTCTTTATATTATACGTTCAGTTATATCAACATTATAACCTCTGTCGTTAGCAGTGTTTTTTTATACAATTCAATTCGTTTACCAAATTAGTAGAATCAGAACAGATTGTTAAATGTTCTGTCTTTATAAGTATGAATCTTCATATTGTTACGTC